GGCAACCAATTTGGTGACATGCGTAACACATGTCCCAAACAGCGTAAGCTACGGAGGTTGATCACCAGTGGGCGATCGCAATTTCCTAAAACTCTGCGCCCAACCTGAGCATTGCTTGTCCGGTTTTCCCACCAGACTCGTGCAGTGCAACGTAGACAGTGGTGTTCGAACAGTATTTGTCCAGCTGAAGCGGGTATTAGGAAGTTGTCTTGACAGGGCCAACCAAACTGTGCCTTAAAATGTTCTGCCCATCGTTCAAGACATCGTTACTTAATATGAATCAAAGTGCTGTCAGATATCTCTGGAGATATCTCCTAAGATTTTGGAATGAAAAGAAAAACTGGACATATGTGAGAGAGGGTTTTCCAAATGACACAACAAACATCGCGGTAGACCACAGACGAATGTTTTTTTCTTTAGGACCCCTGACCGAAGCATTCGACTCAAAGGTCTGACCCACAAGGCAGTTCTAATGCGGGAGCGTGACCGATACACCCATTTGGGAGCTTCTAGAGGCCTTTCACACAAGGTCTTTGGGTTTCAGTTCAGCGTGTCGTTCGCTGGTGCATTGATTGACGGTCCACTGTTCGGGATCGGCCCCTAGCCTCATGCACCCAATGAGACAGGCGGAACATGGACGGAACAGCGCCTTATTGGCTGGGGAATACCCAGCTTGGGCGGGCGGTTTCTGTCCAGTGAATTGCGGAGACGTCTTCCACCGTCAGGAGGAAGCCCCAGGTACCCCGCTCCTACGTCCATCTCGCTGGGTTTTCTTGCTGGATTGACCTGTCCAGAGGTGAGACAAAGGAAACCAGGAGGTACCCAAGCGGCTGGTCTTGTGAGTTTGGCCTATATCCATTGACGTTTCAGGCATGATTGGATCTGCTGCTTTGAGCAGCCATCCTGTATAGCTCGCAGGGTCATGGGTACACGCAAGCCGTCAAATCACGGTAAAGTGCTATCTTGTCGTGATTGTTCATCTTTGTGTGGTACCTGTTTGCTTTTTTACAGTGGGTGTTTGGTTTCTGTTCACCCTCTATTTACAGATCTCGGCTGACGATTTTGTTACCATAACGTTTTGATAAACGAAGTGAGAACAACCAGTCAGCACAACTACACCAGTGTTTCCCTATACACGTGGTACACTTAGGTAGCATCTGACTCCCTGTTCGAATTCTGACAACATTCGTTTTTTCATCATAGGTGAATAGTCATTTTTGCGACACAGCATATACGCACCTCGAATGAAATAAACTGATCTGAACCAAGTTATATGTCGTATCTCAGTGTGGTGGTTTATGGATATACGACCTGAAATTTGTGTTTGGAAAGTATTGGCTGACCGGAGATTCTGGCTGTTACTGTTTGCGCAGTTTAGTACGAGTATGCTAGTAGGCAATGCCACTGCAGGTAGCTGTGTTTGAAGGTGTCTCCCTAGGTCAAAAGTTAACGTGGAGACGAATCCCATTACCACCGCCTGACTTTCCCCATTGTGTGTTGAATAGCAGCCCTTTGATTGGCCGCTCCCTCCTTCCTGAAAATTGTATCTTTGTATATTCAAAAAAACGAAGTAGAAATGAACAGAAAGAAAGAAGCGTGGATATAGATTAAGCAGAGGACCTTTCTTTCGTATTCAGGGCTGGGCTTCGTATAACCTCGTAACCGATTGTTTGAGAGGATTATGTCAACTAACTAGATTGTATTCATTCATTATCAAGTCGAACTGGTTACAAAAGGAACGTGTCATTTAAGCCGTCGTTTTATTTACTTTGTACATAAACAGAAAGTAAAAAGGTTGATTTGTTTATAATTTCGCGCGACCTCGAGTGTCGCTATGAACTTTGTAGTAGTTGGAAAGTTAGCTCAGATTTATAAAATATCGTATGCAAAGCATCATGGAAATTCATTCTTTTTAATGAATGATTCCTGTTTCATGAGTGTTTATTAAGCAGAACACACGTATTCTAAATCGCTTATCTCTTCATTCAATGTACAGTAAATAAATCAATTAATGAAAATATTCCAGCCTAAATAAATTGATAAATTATTGGGCTACAAACTACTCACACGTTATGTCCAATACTGAAGGAACTGAAAATATATTCCAAGAAGAATAAGAGTTGACCTTGAGGTATGCTCGTTGAATAAGCATCTTGTAGTGTCACCATACCCAAACTGGATGACACATTCGAAAGTGATTTGCATATTATTGTAACAACTTTATCGAGTGGCACATAAATCCGATGACTCAGTTCTTGACTAGAGCAAGGGCCTCGATGTGAATATAAGGCCATTTTTTGCACAAGCACCGAAAGTTCTCCATCAAAACATAAACCAGCAAATTCTGTTGGACAAGCAACTTGGAGGACTCCGTGCTAAAGCGAGCGCCTCCAATGTTCAAAAATGAAGAAGGGCAAATAGAACATAGACGAGATAAAAGTACTATACCTATATGAAGTCTATGACTCAATTTTATAAATAAATTCTAGTTGCTTTTTACTGTGACTTTGATCGTATAACTGTTGCATAGCAACCATCGTAAAAATCGAGGAATTGCACATTTTGTTGGCATTCGGTATGTAGAAGCAAACATATAAGTATTGTTGTAGATGTGTTGCGTCTGATGTGGGGCACTACCATATTCTGTCCCGTGAATGAGGTTGGAAAACACTGGGAGGAACGGATATGATTAACTTCAGGGAGTTGCACGAGCAGTGGTGGCCCGGTGGTAACGTCACCAAATTACCACCCCGGGAATGTGTTCAAATTCCACCACCGCCTGACTTTCCCCATTATGTGTATTGTATGGCAGCCCTTTGATTGGCCGCTTCCCCCTTCCTGAAAATCGTATCGTTGTTTATTCATCAAAAGAAGCTAAATGAAAAGAAAAAGAAAGAGTTAAGTCAATACCTGTAAGCACCAGCTGCGATGCAACGAAATGAGTCTGGTATTAAATCGTTCTCAACTGAAGTGTTGCGTTCTTTATTTAAGTTTCTAATTGTTTTTCATACTGGTGATAACGGCGAGCATAAAAAGGTGGCTTTATTTTAGCTTTTGAGATAACCTGAGATCCTTAAAATTCACAAATCACGACCTGACGAATGCGTCGTACATTCACAGTTTTTATATAAGTTTGCCGTCATCACCGTCAGCATCAAATAACAATACCCTTTCTAATCGTTGTGACTACCGAGCTAGTTGTATATTGAATCCGTTGTAAAACTCGCTTGGCTCCATAAACACAATTCCATCCTTTACTATTCTATTCGACAGAGCTATTTGGTTTGTCGCTATGATTTTCGTCAGTGAGCGGTCAACGCGGATTAATTGCACATTGTTGTCATTTCGCGTTCATTTTGTACCTCTAGATGTTGCCTGGTATTTGGATCATTTTCAACACGAGTAATTTGACGGCTATCATAGTACAGCAATCAGTTCGTTCGCACCGGTAACTGGTTCACGAGCGTAGTTTGTTGATTCAAACCCTATTGCCATGGTTACGGCGGATTATTGGTTGATGCTCAAGTTCAGGACAACTTCAAGCAACCGGAATCGGGTTCACATCCAAATCAATCAGTTGTTTGTTGTGTTTCCACAAATGTGGGTCTTATCGATTGTCGAGAGTTAGCTTTATTCCATTCTTCTATCCACACTCAATAATGTGGGTATAGATCGATCCAGACTAGTTCATCTCGAGCCATTACGGGTCGCATTTCTGCTACCCTTTGTAATCGCTGCCTAGTCCGCATGATCCTGATTGCCTCTGAAAATCAAGCTTTAATGTAATCGTTCCGTTGGTATCAGAATAAATCTTACTGATGCCAACGGAATACTGTATGCAGTAGTCTATGCGCATCGCCCCCCCCCTTCTACACACGTTAATTTTTCCACCATTCCGCCTTTTTGTTTTGACTCTCTCCTCAGCTCTCCGTTTG